ACTGAACGTATGTCCTCTTGATATATGTAACTCTTCGTAACTGATTGAATATATACCTTTTGTATTCTGATAACCCTCACTATAAGATCTGTTATGTTTATATGCAAATTTTATGCATTAATAAATGTATTCTCGTGTATTAGTATCCGTGTGTGTGCGTTGTTTGAGTTATCCCACAAGGTTGATTTTAATAGCCATCAAAAGAATCATTTTGTGACTTACTGCTACAATTAATAATTGTCCCAGTAAAGGCACAAACCCCTACATTTACTGGTGCCTCGTGAGAGGATGCCTACAACACAGACACACAGAAAGGGAGAGGAGCTTGGGGTCAGAGCGCAGCATCAGCCATTGTACAGCGCCCCTGAAGCAGTTGGGGTTAAGGGCCTTGTTCAGGGGCCCATTGGAGTAGGATTCCTCTGCCGGCCACAGGATTTGAACCGGCAACCTTCCAGCCTTAGCCACATTGCCACTGCTGCACCCTAAATGTTGATATGTCTGCATTTTTGGTTTCATGAGGCAAGTAAAATTGTATCCAGATGTAATTTAGATATGTGACGTTGCCCCCGTGAAGTGGCAGTGTAGTGCCCACAGAGTGTTAGTTTAGATATAACAGTGTATTACTGAGATCTTGTAATAGCTTGTAATCGCTATTCTTGCAAATACATTTTGTATTGTTATTCAGTTTGTGTCTGCGTGTTAGTTGGTTTGCAAACGTTTGAAGTGAAAATTCTTGCACAAGGAAGGTACCTTTAAAGCAGAGAACCAGCACCCAACTTTTTCAGCTCTGTATTTTTCGTCTCTCTTCAGCTTAAAGACTTTTAAAGCCATTCCTCTTTGGCACTCAAGTCACAGAAATTACATATACAATTATTTTACATTTCTATGTTTTATGAGAGACTTCAGAAGGTTTCAACTGATGCATAAAAAATGTAGTATAAATGTGTTCTCGTGTTATGAAGTCACTTACACCTGGGATCCAGTTTATTCAAGCAGGTTCTAAAAATGTAACCAGGTACTGGATATTGTTCAAATAAAAGCTGTGGCAATTTTCACAAATTGCGATCTTTTAAATGCCTGTGGTTTGAAGGCACAGTGTCATTTTTTGCAGTTACTGACATCTGAAAAATTGTGGTCTCATAAATAGGCATTTTAATAAGCAAACAAATGACTCTGAACTATAATAACGTATCACATAATTATTAACAATATGAATTTATTAATAACAGCTAATACTTTCAAACTGATTAAATCTTTTTCATTTTCCGGGGTCTTTTTAATACCGTTTTGTTATTCTCGGTTATTAATATAAGAATACACACTATTTATTATTGTTGTTGCTGCTGCACCCACTGGGCTTTGAGCTTTGAATCGCCGACTTCTAAATAATTTAATTATTTTATGAAACAACTCGGGATTATGATTATAATTTGTCTAATATTATCAAAACTCATTCACTTGTGGTTATTTTGGAAACATTTTGACATGTTTCTTTTAACTTCATTGCTGTCTATACTGTTGCAATAGGTAATGAAACGCCCAGAGTTTGTAATGTTGGGTGCTGTGAATGAGATAGACTTTGATACAGTACAAATACATGTATTTCCCACAAGCTGTACTGTAGTGGGTTTAAAACCATACAGCATCGCACTGTATGCATGTGGCACGTCTTTGTTCGAAGTTTCAAAACTACAGTTTGGAAAAATGAGTGTTTAGAAACAACAGGACATTTGATTGCTGATTGCCTTATGTTAAAGAGCGACAAACACAACAGAGGGCATGCTACTGAAAATCTATCCCCACCCCCAAGAACTGTCTGTTCTACAGAAACACAGCGAGGTGTAACACTCTTAGCCTTTGTGACAACCATCTGTTAACGACGTACCGAGCTGCGTTACATAAAGTGGCTGCAATGGAATAAGTAAAAGTTAATTCCAAACTGAAAAGAAAAGACTCAACGTGTCTTCTCTATAATTCTTCATTTACAGATTGTTCAAGGTAATTTATTATTAATAATATCTGCCGTAACGCATTAAAATTGGAATGTTTTTATAAGTGTAAATCCACTAGGACAGATAGCAGTCTCACCTACATTATTTGGTTATTTTTTACGATTCTGACAGACTTTCAGAATGCTTCGACTGATGCTTAAAAATGTAACATAATGTGTACTGTGGAGAAAGAGCTATTGAGCACACAGCATCTTTCCACCTTCAAAAAGACTTGCATATGTAGTTTATTATCTGTGTGAAAACAGGAAATACAGATTGAGCTTCACAAATTAAACAGAGGTCTGGAACACCCCGTCTCAAAAATAGGCTTTTTAACCAGCGAAGGTTGTGAAAAGAGTGACAAATCACCCCGAACAAAATACAATTTCAAACTAGAAGCAGTCTGAAATTATTAGTTATTAATAAATTCATAGTGTTAATAAATATCAGACACATTATTATAGTTCAGTTTCAGCAGTCTTTTTAATACCGTTTTGTTATTCTCTGTTATAATTATAATATATACGATTTTGGTTTAAGGCTTGTTGTAAAGGCTTGTCTTTAAATGCTCCACTTGAATGAATAAGGTATTTTGAATTGACTAAACCACTTGAACTGTTTATTACTCCCATTGTTGACAGTATACATGTTTGTCCATTCATATTGTTTATCTAATTTAACTTTGAACATGTTGCGATATGTAGAAATTCCAAACAATTCAATATTTTGTCCATAATATTTCCTTTTCTAGTATTTGCTAAAGGAGAACTCATGCCGTGAGCAGGATTCAAACCCCAAATTCCAGAATGCGAGTCATGCACTGAAGCCACTATGCCAACAAACTGCTCAGCAGCTTAGGCTATAGCTGAAAATGCAGGCAAAATGTTTCCAAGTAATCACAAGTCAATGCATCATATTGATGCAGATGTTTAAAAAGGAAGTGGACTACAGTAATACTTTGAGCTACAGTGGATATAAGAAGTCTACACACCCTCATTGAAATTGCAGGTTTTTGTGATGTAAAGCCAGAAATCAAGATAAATCATGTCAGACATTTTTCCTTTTTTAATGTGACCTTGCAACCAACAAAATTCTAGAGAAAAACAAATAGATAATTATTAGGAAAAATAATTGAAATTAAAAAAACTGCAAAACCCTGGTTACATAAGTGTGCACACCCTTTTATAATGGGAGCTGTAGCTGTGTCTAGGGCTAACCAATCACATTCAAAATCATGTCAATAGGTAAGTAGCATACACCTGCCATCAATGAAAGTGATTCTGATTAAACCCAAATAAAAATCAGCTGTTCCTGTAGGATTTCCTTGGAACCTTTGTGGTTGCATCCTACGAGATAGCCATGGTCCGCAAGGAGCTGACAAAACATCTATGGGATCTTATTGTTGAAAGGTACCGATCAGGAGAGGGGTATGAAAGAATAAGAAAGGCACTGGATGTACCATGGAGCACTGTGAAGACCATCATGAATAAGTGGAGAACATGTGGCACCACAGGGACATTGACATCAGGACAACCCTCCAAAGTTGATGACAGGACAGGGAGAAAACTAGAGGCCTACAGCAACGTTAAAGAAGCTGCAGGAATTTCTTGCAGGTATTGGTCACTGTTTGCATATGACAACAATCTCCCGTATTCTGCACACACCTGGACTATGGGGTAGGGTGGCAAGACGGAAGTCATTTCTCACAAAAAAGAACATCCAAACCTGTCTAAATTTTGCAAAAAAATACAATCACCCTAAAATGTGGGAAAATGTCTTATGGTCTGATGAGACAAAGGGTGAACTTTTTGGCCTTAATTCTAAAAGATATGTTTGGTGCAAAGACAACACAGCTCATCATCTAAAGAACATCATAACTACTGTGAAGCATGGTGGTGGAAGCATCATGCTTTGGGGCCGCTTCTCTTTAGCTGGGACAGGGGCTCTAGTCAAGATAGATGGGATAATGACTAGCTCCAAATATCAAGATATTTTGGCAAAAAACCTGCTGGCCTCTGTCAGAAAGTTGAAGATGAAGAGGAATTTCACTTTCCAACATGATAACGACCCAAAGCACACATCCAAATCAACCAAGATATGGCTTAGGAAAAGGAAGATCAAAGTCTTGGAATGGCCCAGTCAGAACCCAGACCTCAATCACATAGAAAACCTGTGGAATGACCTAAAAAGGGCTGTGTACAGGAGATCCTCTGGCAATATGAAGTAGCCTGAACTTTTTTGCAAGGAAGAGTGGGATAAAATTGCAAAGTCCAGGTGTGCAAGGTTGATAGAGACTTATTCACAAAGACTTACTGCTGTAATAAATACAAAATGTGCTTCCACAAAGTAGTAGCTGGGGGGTGTTTGCACACTTATACAACCAGGATGTTGTAGGTTTTTTTAATTTAAATTATTTTTCACATTAAAGATGGAAAAATGTCTGACATGATTTATCTTGATTTCTGGCTTTACATCACAAAAACCTGCAATTTCAATAAGGGTGTGTAGACTTTTTATATCCACTGTACATAAATATATTTAGATCCTTAAATTAATAATATTAATTTCTTTAGATATGCCATTCCATATTATATTCCCTATTAAGCAGATTCTAATAGACATAATAGAAATAGAATGGTCTCAAAATTGTCATTAATAAAGTATTTGGATAGTAATATGTTACTTTTGTAGTATGTACTATTCTATTATATGAAGAGGCTTTTCATAAAAACATAATTATTAAAAACACTATTACATATGCAATTGTTATTTTTCTAATATATCACACATCCAGTCACACTATTGGACAACCTTTGGAAATGTAAGAACACTTCCCCTGGCACAGGAAAATTAGGATGAAGAAGATTAATCAAAAATAACGTAATGCAATGCATTATTATGACTTGAAACATTCAGGGTATTCACTTAAAGTGTGAGATATTGTTATTAAATAGGCCCACTAACATGCATACAATGTATATGCCATATATATAAAAGAAATGCACTTACGTCTCTCTGGCAATAACTTTGTTGCCAATTGCTGCCTGAATAGCGATTTCGAAAAGCTGTCTAGGTATGGAGTTCTTCAGTCGTTCACACATTGTCTTGCCCACAGTATATGCTTTTTGCCTGAAAACAGTTATTTAAAAAAGTTGCTTCTATAAATGGTCTAAAACCCCACAGAGATTTTAAGACCAAAGACAACTCATTAAATACTGCATAAGTGTATGAAAACTCAAATGCTATGGCAGGACAAACCTAATATACTTCAATCAGGCCATCCATACAATAAATTGTCCACTAGGCACAACCATTATATACAGTGCCTTGCAAAAGTATTCAGAACCTTGACCAATTCTCTCATTTTACTGAATTACAAATCCTAAATTGAAATTTAGTTCTCTGTGATATTTTTATTTCTAAGCAGTGAAACTTAAAATTCATGATTTTAATGTGACATTGTTTTATGTTAGAAAATAAGAAAAAATACAAAAACTGAAATATGCTGTACCAAGTCCTGGATATTTAGCATTATTAACTGTAATTATTTGAAATAGTGTAGTTTTAATTTTTATTGTACACTACATGGTGTGGCATGGTAGCACTGTGCTGATTAGCAGTTCTACCTTGCAGCACTGGAGCCCTGGTTCAATTCCTGGCATGCAGCTGTGGGGACATCTCTTTCAGTACTCGAATAAATGAACCACACTTTATATACACCTATCTCTCAATATATGAATGCTCAATTTATACAATTTTTTGCTGCAACAAAGTTTATATTTTAATGTTTGTTAGGTGTTACAAAAGCAATAAAAATAAACCTTGAAGTGGTAGAAAGGACTGAAAAAGTTGAGTGGTTGAAATACTTGTGCATTACCATTATCTTAGCTGTTTACAATTTTATATATTTTGACTTGTTAACCACTGTACTGTAAGTTAAAGGGACTAAAATCATAAACATGCAATAGTGTTTTTACTTTTATAATTCAGTTATCTTAAGGTAAAAATGAGTAATATCAGATAATGTTCTAGACCTTAGGAGCAAGTGATTAGTGATAAAATGGATGGAATGGAACTTGAATTACCTTTCTGAAACATCTGGTATTCCATGCAGTTTATGAGGAACAAATTAGATTCATAAACTGAGGAATGGGTGTATACACACATCAACTGATAAACTACAGGACTGAAATGTGAGTTATGTGAGCTCTGGGATTAGTGGTCAGAATCATCTGTAAACTATGCTTGAGGGACTGATTAGTGAAAAGTAGCTTATTTGCAATTAGTAGAATTAGTGTTAGAAGTAGTATTGTTAACTGGAATAAAAGGGATAAGTAAAATAAAACAAAAATACAAAAAAAAAAAAAATTTATTGCCAAGTATTAGCGATTTGGAAATAGTAAAAAATTGACTTCTACAAATATTTCTATCACTATTTACTAGCATCTACCTGTTGAACAAATCATACATGTGAGCTTTCCATTCACTTCTAAGAAGTTTCATTATTTTTCATTATTTCAATATAAGAAAAACACTAGGTACAATTTCAGTGAGACCAATGGTGGTTCATTCACTAAGGCTGCATAAATCAGTTTAGAGTGAACAGATCCCCTTATCATGTCCAAAAAACATTAATTCTGAATTTGAATTGACAGTCTTGAAACATTAAGAAGTATTTCACAAACAAAATAAGAAAAGCGATTAAAATCTAGAATCCACAGTGTATGTTTACAGTAGTAAAGGAACTGCAAAGTAACTTACTTATGCGCAATAGTTGCAAGCTCCTCCACAGGCTTCCCATTTAGCAAAATGTCCATCTTTATTAGGTCAGCTGGTTGGTATCCTGCATCCTCATAGTCAAAGCTAAAAATGCACAAAGATTAAAAATATTAAGAGGAACAGCTAGAAAATATATAAACAGACTAACATTTGCTGTACTTTCAGTTGGGTGCTTTCAAGCAGAGTGGTATTTCAAAGTTGACAGTCACTAGAGAAGTATGGAGGGTCTACAAAGCGTACTATTTTGATATTAATCCATCATGTATACTCATTTTTTGCTAACAAGTACAGTAAGTCTGCATGCATCCCCACTTGGAACATGCCTGAATAATAGGGCACGTGCATTCCTTGTGGAGTCATAAAGGATATAAGAACTTTGAACTATGAACCTCTCTTTCAAGGAGAGATACGAGTTGCACAAACACTACCAAAAATATTAACAAAATAGACCTGGTGATTCTTAAGTCAAAAGAAGAAGAGATAAGGTCATAAATCTGGGGCCACTGCTTAGCAAGGAATGCAAGAAAGGATTTTTGTTCAGCTTCAGTTTCAATGAACTGTGCAACCATACCTAAAAATCATCCATATGTATAGTCTATGTACAATGAACACCATACTTTACCATTCTGTTAATATTAAATTAATAAGTCACATGGTTGTGCTCAAAACATAACTTACTGCATTAAACCTCAAATAATAAGGGATATCTGAGCAAATGCCAAAGTCGCTACCTAGTACGCTACCTACAGATGCAGCCATTCAAAATGCGCGGGCGATACCGCATTATTTTGCGGTGTGCTTTACGCAGTCTACCGCGAGTTACCGTAAATTCTCCTATAATACCGCAAGTAAAATAATAGTATCCGGAATTTCCGCAAGGTGGAGCTAATAAAGCTCAACCTCTCATGTTTGAGCTGTCGCCATCAAAGTCTTCAACGAAGATATTACTAATAGTATTAATAATGAATGACCTTGGACAAGCTGTAAA